TAATCCACCATCAGATAGAACCAAATGAGAACCAGACGGACTGCCAAATTATCCCGTCGCGTAGATTTCCATCTTCATCTCCCCCCTCGGATGATTCCGCACCCAAAAAGAGCGAGGGGCAGAGTCTCCTCGTAAAGTTCCGCTTACATTCAGATGCCAGACAACTTAGTTCCGCCGCATAGATCAACGGAACCAGGAGCAGAACCAGAACCACGGCAACAGAACCGCTGGCAGGAGGACGCCCAGAGAAACACGAACTCAAGCTATTTCTATCAACTGGCCAGCATGAACCAGAAGCAGGAAGCCAGCCTGCACATCTTGAAGCCACAATCCTTCCTCGATGTCTAAATCTTCTGCGCGACTTTCCTGATGCGCCCGTCCACGATTCGAATCGTTACCGACAGTCCAGTTCCCATTCGACGCAAACCGCGGCGTCCATAGAGCATCAGCGTGCCCGACGCAAGCACAGGCAGACACGAAAACCACAGCAAGGAAGCAGGAAAGGAAGCCATCAAATCTGTCCACATTCGGAAACGACCGCTTCCCTCCCTCCGAGCCCTCCCCACTCTCCTTGCTTCCTCACGCACCCAAACCCACTCACAAACGCCCCCCCTCAACACACACACACGCACACCCATCCGGTAAGTAATGTATATATCAAACGAGCGCACAAAACCAAAAACGAATGTAGGGCGATGCAAATGCACCAGGTATCAATGATTATCTCCCGCAGTCACAGTCAGGCTACAGTCCAAGACTCCGCACCGCACCGCACGGCAGGCGCGCGAGGGCTCCATTTTTCGAGTCGTAAGCATCCGCACTTCCCCAACTCCACCGCCTAGATCACCGCATCAACGCCAAGGCCCCCAGCGCCATGGCGACGACCACGGCGAAGGCAGGCGCGCGCAGGCCCGCCGCCGCGCCCGTCCCCGACGCCTGGCTCCCGGACCCGGTGCCCGTCTTCGAGGTGGAGCCAGAGCCCGTGCCAGAGGAGTTAGAGGAGCCAGAGGAGCCGGAGGCGCCGGGGGAGGAGGCGCCGGTGCGGTTTGCGACGTCTGGGAGGGAGTGTGTCAGCCTGGATCGATACGACGCAGAAAGGAGGGGGAAGGAGGGGAAGGAGAAGGGAGGGTGTATGCGACGCGCACGGAGAAGCGGGGAGGGGAAGGGTGTGTGCGATGCAGAGCAGACGAGCAAGGGGGGGAAGAGTGGGATGCAGGGAGCGCGAAAAGGAAGGGGGTTGTATGCGACGGCGATGGGGGACGCGGGGGAGCGGGATCGATACAAAGCCCACAGAGGTGCGGGGAGGAGCGGGGAGGAGGGTGTACATGACAGGAAAGGGAGCGGGGGTCGACACGACGTGCAGGGAGAAGTGTGGAGCGGCACGGCTCGCGGCCCGCGGGTCGAGACGACGCGCAGAGAAGCGAAGTCGACACGACGCAGCGGGGAGCACGCGGGGAGGCGGGGAAGCACGGGGAAGGAGGGGAGGCACTCACAAGCAGAGAAATTCGGCTGCGTGTAGTTGGTCTCCTGGTACGGCTGCGTCTTGTTCATCGCAACGCCGACGGGGACGAGGTGCTGTTTGTCAGGGTCGTTAGCTTTCTTTCTTTGCGCAGTAAAGGCGGGGGGGAGTGGAAAGGCGCGGAGGGGGGGGAAGGGAGCGGGGAGGAAAGAACGGGAGTACAATGAAGTGGCAAGCGGGGGACGAAGGTAGTGAAAAGCGGGTAGACGAAGGACGTCGACCGGAAGCGGAAATCAGCACGACAACGACGAAGAACGAAGTCGTCGCGAGTCACGAAAAATGAAGTAAAAAGAACAGACACTCACGTCAAACGCGCCAGCAAGCTTCGGGTAGTTATCCATTGTCGTCTGCATCGTGTAGTTGTTCAGCTCGTGCATCAGCATGATCGCGCCGACCTAGAAAAGATAGGCGTTTCGTTAGCGTGGTGTTTTTATTATTCTTCCCCCGTCCTGGCGAGCGGGCACGGGAACTCGCAAGCGAACGCCTCCCGGGAGAGGAGGTCCGTCTTCCCCTCGTGCTCGCCCCCTCCCCCCCTCCCCCGTGTCCACCGCGGCCCACGGCCCCGTCCCCATCTCCCCCGTGCTCGCCCGCACCCATACGGCTCAAAAAGAAAAAGGACGCACATTATTAAACGCCCCCTGCCCCGCCTTCGTCACAATACTATCATAGTTGCCCTGCACCGTCGCCTCGGTGACACCGTTCGAGCCCACCTCCCAGTCGAACGCGTCGAAGCCCCACATGACCGTGTCGAGGCCGAGCTGCTGCGCGATGAAGCGGATGCGGTCGTCGACGTCGCCGCGCGGGGGCTGCGGGGGCAATGTAAGCGTTCGGTAGAGAGAGGGGGGGGAGGGGACGCACGCGCCAGCACGTCGGGGTGACGCCGGTGACGAGCTTGATCGCCTGCATGGTGTACCAGAGCTCGGCGAAGGCGCCCTCGTTCGTCGCCGCTGTCATCGAGGGGTGCGCCCAGGTGTCTGTGCGTGTGTCAGCATCACGTCAAAACATGAGATGTGCGAGGGGGGCATCAAGCAGAGGGAGGACGAGAAGAGGAGTGGCACTCACGGACGCAGATCTCGTGCCCGTCGGCGACGGCGCGCTGCGCCTCGAGGGGGAAGTTCATCACGTTTGTGCCGATGAAGTACATCGCTGGCAATGCTCGTGAGCTGGCAGAAAAAAATAGAGAGAGGGGGGCACGCACTAGCTTTCTGCTGCTTTGAGGCGAGGAAGTTGTAGAAGCGGTTGTGCCCGCAGAAGGGGCCGTCGTCGAAGCCGTAGCCCAGGGTGCGGGGCTGCACAGGGGGGCGTCAGCACAGCGCCAAGCACAAGCCAGGCACAGGGCCTACCTCAGGAACCGCCACGATGTCCGCCTTGACCCCGGCGAGCTTCGGCGTGGTGCACTGCGTCTGCGTCCACCAGCAATCGGGGTCCGCCGCATCATCGTACGTGACTCCGGAAAAGTCGCCCCCCAGCGTGCCCCTCGGCGCGATATTCGGGATGTTCGCGCTGAAGGACGCGAACTTTGCGCGGGCGACGGAGTCGTTGGGGAGGATGGCGGTGGCGTTCTGGGAGATGGTGGGGAAGGAGGGGATGGCGTTTGAGACGGGGGCGTAGAAGTAGGGGGCGCACTCGGCGGTGGGGTCCTCGATGGCGGCCTCCTCAGCTTCGGTGGTGCGGTCCTGGGCGTGCGCGCCGGCGGCGGCGAGCAGGAGGAGCAGGGCGGGGGTGTGCATGGTGGCCGCTTGCAAAGAAGAGGGGGAGGGGATAGCAGGTAGGAGGCGGGGATAAAACTTGAAAATGCTGATCCCCATAAAAACAATTGTCCGTGATTCGTGCCAATCTTCGCCCAGATCTGGCCAAATAGACACGCAAGATCAGCCGGCATCATCCCTGATTGTTGTTGTCCCTGATGTGTTTCATGCGCTTGTATTGTGGGCCATAGAGATTCAGCATGGCCGTGAGCACGACGGTGGCGACGACTGAGCAGGTTGAACTGACGGTTGCTGCGAGGCTTCATTTACGTATTGGTCACGCCCCTCGCTCAACCACTCTCCTCCACGTCATCCACCTTGGGCACTCTTGGACAGGGCCAAGTTCTCTCGTCCTCCTTGGCCGACGTCTTCCAAGTGCAGGCAACCCTTCCCTCAGCGGCCACCTATCCCCGCGTCCATAAATAAATCCCGCATACTCCTCGCGGTGATCATGATCTCTGCGTTTATATATAACTGCTTCTTCAATCCGCCTCAATTCACCGCCTGATCTCTGCACCCTGCTGACCGCACCCGCCGAGCGTATTCAATGGCAGCATACGGCACGCCAGCGGCGGCGACGGCAGACCACGCCGACATCGGCACGCCCGCCTCGTGTACTCGGCGCCGCTCAACCCCCCTCCACGTCAGGAATAGTATTCTCGAAGGTCGGAGCGCGCACGCGCTGTTTATATCCTCTCCGGGACTTTTCTATACATCCCTAGTATATCTCCTGCACGTCGTTGTTCCGCCCGCCCCGCCCCGCCCCGCCCGAGATCGCCTCCAAGCCCGTCAGATCACCCCAAACGTCTACATTTACATCCAAATCCGACCGGGCGTCCCGCGCCCCCTCTGTCGCACGAACGCGACCAGCGTACTTTCTACCCTCACTCCCCCGTAAGCAAGCACCGTAACTGTAGCCGCAAGCGAGCACCGTAAGCGGCTACGCATTTACATCTCTGACATCGACACGACAGCGGCGCGATCCCTGCCCGCGGCGCTAGGTGCGATATTATTACACACCTTCGGTCATTTTTATTTTTATTTCGTGGTACGTACCCCGGCCGGACGAAGCGAAGCGGCACAGAGGGCAGAGGTCACGCAACGTATCCCCGTGCGCTTGAGCCCCAGGGTATCACGGCCGCTCCTGCGAGACTTTTAGAGCCATCGAGGTAACTGGCGCGCCGGACCTGCGGCGTCCCAAGCCTACGGACTCCAAGGCGATTCAGTACTCAAAACTGCGACAGGGCGTCCCGATCCCGATCCCGAGTGCGCGCCCCATTCCACTCCATTCCATCCCTCTCCGATCCGGCTTTCCCTCCCCTCCCCACCTCCGAGCCGCCCGCTCCGCGTGTGCGCATCCCCGACTCAAACCTGCCTCCTCGGTAGAATTCCGGCAGCGGAGCTCCAAGCCGAACGACTCCAACGCCGGCGTGAGCCGCAAACTAGACGACACCAAGGCCTAAGTTCTGACGCGACTCGTGCGTATGAAATGATGCGGACGAAAAACGCCAGTGACGATGCGGACGAAAAAAATCAGGTCACTCGTCAGACTCACGACCCAGCCCGGAGTCGAACCGGGGGCTCCCACTGAATCCCGCATATGCGACCATCATTGAGAGTGGGTGTGATTCCGTTCACCACTAGGTCTTCCTCCTCCCTCTGAACCCCTACATTCGCAGCAGACTTTTTCTGGTTCCTCCGAGCTGGGAATAAAAAGCAATGATGATGACACATGACCTAGCCCGGAGTCGAACCGAGAGCTCCCAATGAACATCATATGGGAATTTGGATGAATGCATTGAGAGAGGGTGTGGTTCATTCCACCACTAGGTCTTCCTCCTACCTCTGAACCCCTACATTCATAGCAGACTTTTTCCGGGCTCTAAGGTAGGAATAAAAACGAAGTGATCAACAACCATGATGACCTAGCCCGGACTCGAACCGGGAGCTCCCACTGAATCTGCTGCATCTGCACAGATTGATTGTGAGTGTGATTCCTTTCACCACTGGGTCTCTCTCCTCCCTTTCAACCCCTATTCTCATTGTATACATTTCTGGTTGCTCTGAGCAAGGGAAAAAGACATAGTATCAGCAAACTCATGACCCAGCCCGGAATTGAACCGGGAGTCTCACTGAATTGAACTATAGCACATCAATCTACAGATTGCGAGTGTGATTCATTTCTCCACTAGGTCTTATTCCTACCGCCTAACACCTTTATCCCCCACTTTTCCGGGCTCTAAGCTAGAAATAAAAAGGGACCATAGACAACACATGACCTAGCCCGGACTCGAACCGGGAGCTCCCACTGAATCTGCTGCATCTTCACAGATTGATTGTGGGTATGATTCGTGCACCACTAGGTCTTCCTCTCTAGCTCTAAACCCCTGTATGTATCCCAGCCGTTTTTTTTTTTGGCTACTGCCAGTGTAGCACTGTGAGAAAAATATCGCTCCCGAAACAGCTTATGACCCAGCCCGGAGTCGAACCGGGATCTCTCACTAAATTGAACTACAGTGACCAATTTACAGATTGCGAGTGTGGTTCATTTCACCACTAGGTCTCATTTCTACCTATTAACACCTTTATTTATACCACCCTTTTTCCGGGATGTCTGAGCAAGGGGTTTTTGAAAAAAAGTGACACAGAGGATATGGCCCAGCCCGGACTCGAACCGGGACCTCCCACTGAACTCAAATTGACAAAGCATCGAGGGTGGATGTGTTTCATTAACCACTGGGTCTTTCTCCTACCTCTCAACCCCTAGATTTATACAGGCCTTTTGCAGAAGGGCTCTCTGCACGCGGGGGAAAAAAGGTAAGTAATGCTTCGCCAGCTATGATCCAGCCCGGAGTCGAACCGGGAGCTCTCACTGAAGGGTTCTGACACAGTTACCGACCACAGATTGTGAGAGTGATTCCGTCCACTACCAGATCTCCCTTCTACCGCTCAATTCCTTCATGTATAGCAGCCTTTGTC